TCGCCGGCGCCGGGGAGGCGTGGTGGGGGTTTGTTTTGACGGGCCATAGTACCCCTATTACTACTGGGGTTATTCTGAATCACCCTGTATATATATATATATATATATATATATATATATATTTCTGAAATTAAATAAATACAAATAAAAACACAAATATTTCCCGAATTCACGCAGAAACTGAACCCGACACAACTCGCACGTCGGCGCGCGAAGGTCTTACGATGCATTTTCGGCAACTCTCTAGGAGGCTTGATTCGCGGCCAAATTTACTCCCGACAGCCTACACTCACAGCAATGAACAGAAACGCCCTTCGCACTTGGGATCGGACGCCAGCACTGAAATTCGAAAAGACTGCGTCGCCGGAAGAGCGAGCGCAGCGTGAACGCGAAACGCGAAAATGGCGTATCTGATTGCAGAGTGTGAGCGAAGCCCGCGGATTTACATTACGCATGATAAGAGAGTCACCTTACCGGCACAGTCCTCCGAGCGTTTTCCGGAATGATCTTGATGAGCCGACAACCTCGCTCCTTGTTCTCTTGCTCGTTTGTTCATTCGCACGCACGTTCACTCGCGTTAAGAGTTCGCACGCAAAAGCCTCGTCGATCGGGCTCGATGCGCAATCGATGGCAGCACCCCCTGCGTGACGTCGCGGCGCGTGATCACGTGCTCGGCGCGTGGGCACGTGCTTGGCTCGTGCTCCTTCGCCAGGTGCATGTGCCCTTGTGCCTAAACGCCAATCGCCTATACTTCAAGACAGCGACTTCTTAAATTTTGTGTCCGGGTTTTACCTCGGCGATGCTCCATAAGTTCGACGAGGTACCCGAGTTTATATACAAAGATAAAAACTAATAAACGCAATGCACGCGATATAATATAGTATTCGGGCCTTTCGGAGATTTCGGTCTTGATCTTAGGAATATATTTTTTATAATTAAATAATAAAATACAGTATTTACGAAACCATTTTATTCTTATTGTTTAAATATTAAGAAAAAATTACTTTTCAGTCCTGATTATTGCTACATTCTTATAATAGCAATAAGTAGTAGTGAGTAAAGTTAGATAGAATTAATTACTTTAGAAATAACAGCGTAATATTTTTAGAGAGATCTTATTAATAAAAATGATTGCGACCCCGATGTCGAAATAAGATAAAATTTAAGTGTAAAAGCTCAGAATTTGAGTCTATTCAACTTTTAATATCTTACATGATTTGAGTTTAGATCGGCCTGAGCCAGATCGTATTCTATCTTTAAAAGATGTATATATTATTTACACAAATACAAAATATTTATTTTACTTGGTCTTTTCTACTTTATTACATTTTAATATTTATTTCTTATTTATTTTATTACATTTCATTTTTGTTTCATTGAATTTTATATTTTATTTGATTTGTTTCATTCTTTATTTAATATATATTGTACTTATATCATTCTTTATTTTTTTATTTAATTCATGTCATGCTCTATTTTATCTGTTTATTTATTTGATATTATTTATTTTACTTATTTCTTATTTTTTTATTTAATTCATGTTATGTTCTATTTCATTTTATTTTTTATTTAATTTTATTTATATTTTATATAATTTATATATATATATATATTTTTATTTTTATTTTATTTTATTGCAAAATGAATCGTATATTATCACTAAGATCGACGGCGATTACGTAGACATTCACATCCTCGATGGCAAAGACCTAGAAGACGCGTAGACACTTAGTTCCTCGACGACGACTACGTAGACATTCACTTCCTCGACAGCGAAGGCTTAGACGACTCCTAGAAATTTAGTTCCTCGACGGCAATCACGTAGACATTTACTTCCTCGACGACGAAGACTTGGACGACACCTAAACACTGAATTCCTCGATGGCGAAAACCTAGACAACACCAAACACTTAGTTCCTTGACGACGAACACTTAGACACTCATTTCATCGACGGCGACTACGTAGACATTCACTTCCTCGACAGCGAAGATCTAGACAACACCTAGACACTTAGTTCCTCGACGACGATCACGTAGACATTTATTTTCTCGACAACAACCATGTAGATAATTACTTCCTCGATGGCAAAGACCTAGACGACACCTAGACACTTAGTTCCTCGACGGCAAACACATAAATATACATTTTTTCGATAGTGACCACGTAGACATTTATTTTCTCGAAGGTAAAGACCTAGAAGACGCATGGACACTAGTTCCTCGACAGCGAACACGTAGACATTCATTTCCTCGACAGCGAAGACCTAGACAACACCTAGACACTTAGTTCCTCGACGACGAACACGTAAACATTCACTTCCTCGATGGAAAAACCTAGACGAGACCTAGATACTTAGTTCCTCGATGGCGACCACTTAGACATTCATTTCCTCGACGGCGAAGACCTAGACAACACCTAAACACTTAGTTCCTCGACGACGAACACGTAGACATTCACTTCCTCGATGGTGAAGACCTAGACGAGACCTAAATACTTAGTTCCTCGACGGGGACTACGTAAACATTTACTTCTTCGACAGCGAAAACCTAGACGACTCCTAGACATTTAGTTCCTCGACGGCGAAAACCTGGACAACACCTAAACACTTAGTTCCTCGATGGCGAAGAGCTAGACAACACCAAACACTTAGTTCCTTGACGGTGAATATTTTGACACTCACTTTATCGATGGCGACTACGTAGATATTTACTTTTTCGACGGCGAAGACCTAAACGACACCTAGACACTTAGTTCCTCGACGGCGAAGACGTAGACACTCACTTCCTCGACAGCGAAGGTTTAGACAACTCCTAGACATTTAATTTCTCAATGGCAATCCTGTAGACATTTACTTCCTCGACGGCGAAAACCTGGACGACACCTAAACACTTAGTTCCTCGATGGCGAAGACCTAGACAACACCAAACACTTAGTTTCTCGACGGCGAAGACTTAGACGACACCTAGACACTTAATTCCTCGATGGCAAACACGTAGACACTCACTTCCTCGATGACAACCACAAGAGAGTTGTGAGAGAGACGAGAAAGCAGAGAAACAGACGAGAAAGTCGTGAGAGAAACGAGAAAGCCAAAAGAGAGACGAGGGACAAGTTTGAAAAAAGGGACAAGATTGAAATTTGCGAAGAAGAAGACGATGACGACGATATAGAAGACCAAAGAGACCATACAACATTGAAATTTTATGAAAAAAAGCGAAGAAAAAGACAGTGACAACAACAGCGACGAAAATATAAATTATAGACGAAAGGGGACAAGATTGAAATTTTGCGGCGGCGACGGCGACGGCGACGGCGACGGCGACGGCGACGGCGACGGCGACGGCGACGGCGACGACGACGGCGACGACGACGACGACGACGACGACGACGACGACTCTGAATGACATAATATCGGACAAAAAATGCATACACTTTATGCGCTTATGCACTTATGGATATTGCTGTTACAGTATTGTAATTAGAAAAATATAGATTTTTTCACAAAATTAGGCATTTACCGATATTATCCAAATAATTAAAAGAAATAATAATTTATTCCTACAGAGTCGTTATCCGTCCAGTAAAGGATACACTGTAACGTCTCTGTTAATAACGAAAAAATATACTTGGCGGGAGACGCTACCGCGTCTCCTGATTATCAATATGGAAAAATTATCGTAATCGCGCAGTGTTTAAGATAATGTGTTGTTGACACATTAGTAAAAATCAATTCTTCAAGCATTAATATTAGTCAAAATATTTATTCATATTATTTACTGTTAGAATCATTATATTATTATCGTTTTAGATTAAATGCAAAAGAATTTAGTTATTATTAGATTTCATCGATTCCTCAGAGAGTAAAATGTTCAGACAGCAAAGACAAAGATTGAATTCGTATAGTGTCAATGCATTAGAGTTTTGCAATAAAATTGAAATATTAAATAAAACATTTGCATTTTATTAACATTTTTATTTATTTATAGAATTGAAAACATAACTTCAGTATTTCATATTTACAAAAAAATTAATAGTTTAGAATATGAGTACTTACAATCAATATATTGAACAGTATAATATTCAACTTATTGTTAACCAGATTTTCGCTAAAATTGTAAAAGTAAAAACAAGATAAAATTTGTGTAAAAATGTCTTTTGTTATTCAAAGGATGAGAATCTGAAGCGGTATAATAAGATTAGCACAAAAGTATAAAATTTTTAACTTTAAATTCGAATTAGGTTTTCATTCGTTGCAATAATAAATTTTACTGTCAAATCGCAGATAATGCTTATCTAATATTAATTCTATCTTATTATACTTTTATGATAGCGTTTTGTTTCTGCAATCACGCATAAAACCAATTTAAGAATCACGTCGCATTCGTTAGTCTTGCTTTTAACTGAAACAGTAAATACAACAATTAAAGTTAAAAACTTTTATGTCTGAAACACTTCCAGATAACACAGAGTTTAAAAAAAAGTCACTCGTACGTCATCAATTTTGATTTTTAGATGCAAAAAGAATTTTTTTCTAAAAATTCTGAAAAGGAATCTTTTTGCCTGAAAATGAATTTAGAATTGATGGCATACAACTGAATATACGAATGAATTTTTTTTAACTCTGTGTGCCATTTGGGACTATAACAGTTAATTTTTCAAATATAGATAAAATTGCAATAATTAATTTTCCATTAATTTAATTTATAATTATGACAATTAAAATATAACTAAGACAGTAAATTATTTAAATTTTCTGAAAAAGTTTATATTTTTTAAATTATACATTTTGATTTCATGCCTTTTAATCAATATTTACCTCGATCGATACAGATATCTAATATGTTATTTCGTACAGCAATATCTTTGGTGTTTAAATGAGACTTATTGTCCATCTCTTCCTTCATTCTTTCTACGTTGATGTTTGTACCAACCATCTGGAATTTGTATATTGCATAAGCAAACATAAAAGTACAAATATCAGAAAAAAAATAATTAATCTATTAATATAATTTATTTATTATAATATATAAACATAATTAAAATACATAAACTGACTTTGAAAGAATATTTCTTAAATTTGAATTACTTCTATATACTTCTATATATTACGTCAAAATAATCTTTATTTCACGTTAAAGTGACGTTATTAATCCTAGGTATATACACTGTTTTTTGGACGACGTCGTATACACACTGGGATCCCGGGGACCCCATCTATATTTATTGCTGTAACTCTAGTAAAAATGGATATATTTCAATTAATTACTTTTTAATCGATAGAGAATCGACCAAGGAACAAACCCATAATGTTTAAAAGTCGATAGAATTAAGGAACTCGACTAAGATATACAGGTTCAAAGAAAAAGAAAAGTTAAAAACGCGAAAAAATTTCGATTTAGCTCCTTTTTTCAAAAAATCATATCTCTTTTGTTTAGAGACTGATTTGAAATATCCTTGAAAATTCTGAAAGGGCATATTTGAAATAGTAACAAAAAAATTTGGCAATCTGATATTTTAATTTTTTACAAAACTGCAAGCAGTCTCGGAGACCTCACGCTCACTTCAACTGTTCACTACTCAGTTATTGAGCGACAATTGCCGTGCGTCAACATGTCTTCCTACTGAAGAAATCTCAAACTTTTTTTACGTTAATATTCTAAACCTCTCCCCTCCCAATTTCAGAAATGCCAAATCGAGAAAGTTTTGCTGGGGTCCTGGGGATCCTCTCCTCTCCGCCAGTGTGTATATCTAGGGATAGGTTTAAAATATTATCTTTTGTATAGAGTATAACAGAACGATCGTATCAAGTTAGTTTTTCAAAAAATATTCATTCTTATTTTCTTAAAAAATGTTTCAGACAAAAGTTATAGAATTTTAAACGACGTATTACATAGTAATATAAATATAACTTTTTGAATAGCGTTGTTGAAGTTATATAAAAATTACATTGAAATTTTTTAATGAAAACTCCAATTTTTTATTGAATATTTTTGCTTTTTAAAACACTATAATAAACAATTCTTTTATTAAGTACTTTTAAGTTATGAGAGTTGAAAGTATCCAAAGTGTACCACAAATTAATATTTAAAATCATTTAAAAAATGGGTTAGATGGCCAATCATGAATCAGAGTTGGTCATTAAACTGAATTGAGCCAGAAAGAAAAAAAAACGTCTAAATTAAATAAGAAATCAATAATCTATTAAACCAAGAAAACTTAACAAATAAAAAAAATTCTATTACAGTAATTTTCCTGCAACTGTAAAAAATAATTTGATAAATATGTTGATGGAGCAAAATTCCACATAAATTTTCCACATGAAGCAAAATCTGCACAGTCTCTTGCTTACAGTACAAAGTAAGGTCTATAATTTTACGATTAAACATATGAACTGTATGTATTTTTAAATAATAATTGAAATGTATCCTACTAATAATAATATTGAATAAAGTATAAAAGTGAAACTTTTTTGTTTATAATTTTGTAACGAATAACGTCTAAAATTTGATGATCATGACTTTCATATAATATATTAAAATCAAAGTCGATGCTGCCTCTCTCCATCGACATATTTAGCAACATTTTTTGATATAAATAAAAAGTTATTATTAATAAATTATTTTTGATATTTTTAAATTTTACCAGTCCTTTTTTCTGAAGTAAGCAGGCAAATAGACAGCTTACTTTTAAAGCTGAGTTGTTAATACTTGCTGTTTGTACTTCATCGTTCACTAGTTGATCCATCATCATTAAATCTGCTATAAAATACAAATTACTTATAAATTTATATTTTTAATAAAATGTTAATATTTGATACAAACAATTTCATTTTAATTTAACAAAGTTTGTCTAAATGTACAATTTTTAATTTCAATCAAAATATTAGAATAGTTTAATAACATGTAACTATAAATATTTTAATATTATCATTTAATTATACTTAAATAGGAGAGATTGAGGCTTATTTGCACAATTGACAATTGATATTGAGTTCTGTTTACGGATTTATGGCGAAAAAAACAATAGAAAAGTTACTGAAAAATATTTCTTTATAACATAGATATTTAATTATCTCTAAGTTTTATTTAAATCAAACAAATATTACAATAAAAAAAAGAGAAAAATATAATTTAGTTAGAGAGATAGTAAAGTCTTACCAAACGCAATAATTTTTGTACAATGTTTCCGTATGTATTGTTTTTACAGATTTGAAAATCCTTTTTTAAAATTAAAGTATAGACAATAACGAAATGCGGATGAAACGATTCTGTATCAAAAATAAAAAAGTTTTCAACAATTTATAGTTTTTATTAACGACTTCTAGCGTCATTTGTAACAACATTTGCTTGGCATAAGAATTTTATACTTTGTATGTATAAAAGCTTCATCCGCGTTGGAACTTACATAAAAGAATAGTACCTACTGTGTTTTTAATGAACCTAGACGTTTTGATATAAGAGAAAACATTTGATGAAAAAGCGTATATGTATGCATGCAACATTGATAGTATCGATACATTATTTATATGTGGATTTAGGAGATATTAACGCATTACTACTACTATGTCAATATCATACATATGTATAAATACACATACATATGTATAAATCAGTAAAACGACGTCATGAAGTTTAGCCGTCATTCCAGCATCGCCTTAATATTTATTTTTCTATAAGCATTTGGCTATTTAATTATTATAGAATAATTTCAAAAATGCAATTTTTATTTTAGATCACATCTGCGATTTGTTTTTTACTTTTATTATGCTAATTTAATATAGAGTTTATCATATAGATAACTTATATCATGATATTCATCAATTTACTCCAGATAAGTTGTCTACAATGCAACATATTTGTACTTTTTGCTGCAAAGAAACTAGAACAGAATTGTTTCTGACATGTAAAGAAAGGTTCTGTCTATCATAGTATAAATTATTAGTTAAATTATAATAAGTATAGTTAAATTATAATAAGAATAGTTAAATTATAATAAGTAGTTGATTAAGAAGTCAAATGCTGAAATTGTAAAAACTGTATCATCGAGCTCCGATTTTTCCTAACACGACATATCTAAATAAATCAATAAACCAACTCATTTATACTCACCCGCAAAAAAACCGGGCACCTAAATTTTAACTCAAATTTTTAATATCTTTCAATAGCGGTAACTCTATGAAAAATCATCGTATTGAGATGAACCTAAGCTCAAATTAAAGCTTGAACATTCCCTTTGATACTAAGTAAAATCAAAATTGAGTTCCAGAAATGCTTTATAAAATGGCGGACATTGAAGTCAGGCTTAGAAAAATAGGAAAAAAAACTTTTTCTTTAAACTATTGCGCTGGTCAGGAAAGTTGGCTGCCTGGCATAAAAATTTAAGTTTTCAAGCTAATTGATCTCCTAACAAATCCATTTTTTGATCATTTTTCTACGATTTTTTTGATAAAATTATAATGTTTTAAAAAAAGTGTTACAAAACAGACTATTTTTTCTTGTCTTAATGTAATTCATAAACAAATTATTGTAGAAAATTTTATTAAAAAATATAAAAAAAACTTTAAACCTTGAAAATTCTTAAAAAGCAAATTCTTTTTCTTATGTAAGTGCGTGTATTTATAAATACGTATGTGTGTCCTGCTCTCGGCGTTACTCAGGATCAACGATGTAGATGTGGCAGGAATCTGATCCCGTGTGTGTGTGTGTGTGTGTGTGCGTGTGCGTGTGCGTGTGCGTGTGCGTGTGCGTGTGCGTGCGCGCGCGCGCGCGCGTGTGTGTGTGTGTGTGTGTGTGTGTGTGTGTGTGTGTGCGTACTCGCGCGCACATTTAGTAATGTGTATTGCCTTTTCTCGCGTTTATTAATTTGTGTATTTGTTTGGGTATATTGTTAATCAGGTGTCTAATTGTTTCTTGTTCTAAATTATTCTATTCCTCTTGCGTGGCGGAGTGCTGCTAAAGTTTGAGCATTATGTTTTCTAACTTTTCGTTTTAAAATACTCCATAAATGCTCTACAGGATTTATATCTGGACTCATAGCTGATCATAAAAAATAGCCCGTTTTTAACACTTTTTTTTAAAACACTATAACTTTGTTTTAAAAAATCGTAGAAATGTGATCAAATAAAACGTAAAAATGGATTTGTTAGGAAAACAATAATCTTGAAAACTCATAAATTTTTATGCCAGGCAGCCGACTTCCCTAACCAGCGCAATAGTTTAAAAAAAAATTTTGTTCCTATTTTTCTAAGCCTGTCTTCAACGTCCGCCATTTTATAAAGCATTTTTGGAACTCAATTTTGATTTTTTTTAGTTATCAAGGGGAATGTTCAAGTTTTAATTTGAGCTTAGGTTCATCTCGATACGATGATTTTTTATAAAGTTACCGCTATTAAAAGATATTAAAAATTTAAGCTAAAATTTAGATGTCCGGTTTTTTGCGGGTGAGTATATAACGTTAAATGAAAATTATTATTTATCACTTATAATATAACTTGGAAAAATTTAATTTTATAACAACTTTTGCTGAGTGCACTTACTGAGATTTACATTTGTTTTATTGAAACAGATCTGTACATCCGTTTTCGACATCGATAATAACTCCGCTAGTCTATCTGTGATATCATCAATAAAGCCTGCTGTCTATAATAAACAAATAAAATTAGAAATTAAAAATAAAGAAGATTTTAATAAAAAAGTAGACAGTGATTATTCCATACAGCACACTAATGTTGAATCAACATCTTAGAAACGTTGAATTGCAAGATTGCGTTGTAGCAACATCGCGAAATGTAGATTCAACGTTGAAAAGATATTGCAGAAACGTCTAATGACCGTTGAAATTGATGTTGTTAGAACATCTGTAAGACATTGCAATTCAACATTGTTTATTATTAATTTAATCCGCACAGAATAATAATATTTATTAGATGTCTATTCGATTTTTATCAAAACCAAAATATAAATAATTGTAAAACGTTAAAAAAAAATAATTTAAGTATACGGTGTTTCTAAGGGATCAATTCCTTTTAAATTAATATTCATATACAACGGTCACCCATCCAAGCCACGACCGCCACCAACGTTGCTTAACTTTTGTGGAATTGCAGACACTTCGTGATGATCCATGAATACTTGATGTTAATATCATGGATATATATGTTCGTAATAGATCAGATTAATAAAATTATCAGAAAAACGAAAATATATCTTTTTATAAATGTTAACATACAATAACATGATCGATAATTAATATGACAAACATCGATTTCCGCGTAAAGATTTAAATATCGTTCGTAAATGAGCCTTGTTAAGAAATCAAGTTGAAATCGTGATAGTTTCTATTTACGTGAATCTGTTCCTATTTAACAAAATTAACTAAATTATTTGTTTATACATACTTTGAACACAGAAAAATTTTAAAATATAATTCAAAAATATATGATTTATTAAAATTTTATTTGTTTAAAAATTTATTCTTTATTTAATAAAAATTAGATATATACTATATTATTTTTTTAATGTAATGTTTTTTATTAATTGTTTCAAAAGATAATAATTTGTTTTATATAATTTCAATGTTACAGTTTATATAATTTCAATGTAACATTAAGAATTAATATAGAAAATGCAACATAGATTCAACGTTGCAGCAACATTAACAATCAATATAGAAAATTCAACATATATTCAACGTTGCAGCAACGATTAACAATCAATATAGAAAATTTAACATAGATTCAACGTTAAAAAAATATTCCCACCACAACATTCAACATTGCAACGTCTCAGCAACGTTCTTTCAACGTTTTGTGCTGTATGGGTATAATAACAATTAAGAAACTCAGTAGTATCTCGCGTACAACGTAGTTTTGTAAAAAATGACTCGTTAGTAATTTTAAAAAGTAACGCGTTAGTATTATTATTATTTAGAAAGTAACACTTTGTTATGTTTTCCGTCACTTTTTTTGTAATACTAACAATAAAGTATAAATATTCGATTTTAAAATTATATTGTTTAATAATAAATATTAAATATATAATCAATATTAAAATTATATACTAATAATTCTCTGCATAGCAAGTCATTCTTTATATTATCTAATCCCATAAAAAATCTTTTTATAAGAAAATATACTCCAAATACATAAAAAATGTCACTTACATTCTTTCTAAAACTAAAAACAATTTTTTTTATAATTTGAATATACAATTATTTAATAATTGATTGATCAAAGATAGTCATGAAATCAATAAAATTATAGCCAAGTTATTAAACTAGCCTTATTATTTAAAAAAAAACCTCAAAAAAACTTATTTGTGAAAAACATTCAAAAATTTTAAAAATAGAAAAGTGATAAACTGGATTATAAAAAAAATTTGGCGTGCCTGGGTCGTTTTAAACTGCAATAAAATTAAACGATCCGGGCACGCCAAGTTTTTTTTCATTATAATCCAGTTTATCACTTTTCCATTTTTTAAATTTTTGTTTTTCACAAATAAGTTTTTTTGAGATCTTTTTTAAATAATGAGAATAGTTTAATAACTTGGCTATAATTTTATTAATTTTACTATCTTTAATCAATCAATTTTTAAATAATTGTATATTTAGGTTATGATAAAAATTGTTCTTACACGGAAAGGGACCCAAGTGTCCCCCTCCGATTTCGATGAGCTTTTAATAAGTTATTCTATAGACAAAACCGAAAATTAAGCTACCGCAAATTCGTGCCGCTTCGCGCTTTTAAGGGGTGAAACACTCCTTAGAAAAAAATCGGTATTTTTATTTCAATGCGAATATCGTCGAAACTAGGAGAAATAGAAAAAAATGTTCCGAATAAAAGTTGAATCGCCTTAAGAGTACTTTATAATTACAATTAAAAATAATTTTTTTATTGGTTAATTTTTTGTTTACCCCAACCACCAAAAATTTTTTTGAATTTTTTGAATTATTTTTTTT